TTGGGCGGCGCCGATATTATGATACCCTACACCACTTTGCATATTTAGTAGAGCTTCACATAACAAATAAAAGTTTTTATGGGGAACTTTTATGAATGAAATCATACCAAGTATGATTTTAGTTATAATTTAAAGTCCAAAAGAACTAATATATGAAGGGAATATCCTCCTCTGAATCGATTTCTACTAAATTTTCCGAGGCATTTGTGCCTTTTCAATTCGGTCTTGTATTACCCATTTGGTACACAGTTCACTTGAAACCGGATTTGGGAGCTTTATCCAAACCCGAGCCGATCTCTGGGATGTATTTCATAAAATTTGGCAAAATTATTTCGATAAAATTTGGCAGAGGTATTTCTGAGATATATGGCATACATATTTTCAGGCCTGATTTGGTTGTATGTGCAAAATTCCATACTATTCGGGCTGATATTACACGTTTGGTGCACAATCAAAGGCACATCGGGAGCTATATCTAATTTTGACCGATTATATCGAATTTCAATAGGGTTCGTCCTTGTCGCCGATCTCGATAAAAATTGGCAAAGGTATTTCTGAGCTGTATTTGATATATTTGCCCAAATATCGTTGTTACAGAGTACATATTACAGCTGCGGAGGGCAAAAATAACAAATGGGATGAACAATATATACCGGAGGTATAGATATATCTGAACCGATTTCAATAAAATTTGGCGTACTTATTTTCAGGTCCAATCTGGTCGTAAATTTCAACTAAGATATATATGGGAGCTATATCCAAATCTGAACCGATTTCGATAAACTTTAGCAAATGTATTTCTGAGTTTTGTTTAATATATTTCCCCAAATATCGTTGTTACAGAGTGAATATTACGGCTACGAAGGACGGAAATAACAAATCGGATGAACAGTATTTATGAAAGCTATTGCTATATCTGAACCTATTTCGATCAAATTTGGCATACTTATTTTCAGGCTTAATTCGATCGAAAATTCCATACTATTTGGGTGCACAATAAAAGGCAAGTCGGTCGAAGATATTCATGAGATCTATATCTAAATTTTGACCGAGTATATCGAATTTTAATAGGGTTCGTCCTTGTCACCGATCTCGATAAAAATTGGCAAAGGTATTTCTGAGCTGTATTTGATATATTTTCACGATTATAGTTACTACGGAGTGCATATTGCGGCTGTGCAGGATTAATTCAACAAATTGGATGAACAACATACATGGGAGCTATAGCTACATCAGAACCGATTTCGATAAAATTTGGCATACTCATTTTCAGGCCTAATCTGGGCTGATATTATACGTTTGGTGCAAAAAAAATGCACATCGAACGAATTGGAGCTATATCCAAATCTGAACCTATATCGATAAACTTTAGCAAAGGTATTTCTGAGTTTTATTTAATGTATTTCCCCAAATATCGTTATTACAAAGTGCATATTACGGCTGCGGGGGGCAAAAATAACAAATCGGATGAACAATATATACCGGAGGTATAGCTATATCTGTACCGATTTCGATAAAATTTGGCATACTTATTTTCAGGCCTAATCTGGTCGTATGTGCAAAATTACATACTATTTGGTATAATCTTTGGCGCACAATAAAAGGCAAATCGGACGAAGATATATAGGAGCTATATCTAAATTTTAACCGATTATCTCCAATTTTAATAGGGTTCGTCCTTGGGCCAAACATATTATTTGTGCAAAATTTCATATGGATCTGGCAATAAATGCGACCTGTACTTTGTTTACAAAAATACATGAACAGACGGACATACGGAATGTGATTCTATGCAGATCATCAAAAGGAACTATGGGTCTTTCTTGTTTCCATTTGCCTGTTACAAACAAATGCACAAAAACATAATACCGTGACCACCTTGTGGTGTAGGGTATAAAAAGGGGGCTACCAAAACATGACCACATGCTGATATTTGTTGCAGGTAATGACATTTAGCGAAATTATGAATAAAACGGGGATCATCTACATTTGGCTATACCAAAGAGTGGACCGATGTGACCCATTTTTTTAAACCAATAATTCTTGAAGTAATTTAAGCTTATATATCAATTTTCATAGCTCTATATTAAATCTTGTGAAATATACCTCAAAATATTTGGAAAAGGCTACAAAAAAGTTTGGGGTTTGGTTATACAAACCGAGTACTAAAAAATCGGTTTGGAATTTTCCACAACCCAGACTGACTAAAACTATAAGAAAATTTGAAGTAAATTCGAAAAATATTGTAAATTTATTGAAAATTAAAAAGGTTTTTTAGAGGCCAACTGAGTAACTTAACGAGAATCAACGCCCAGACAAAATGTCTGAAACTAGAATCTTAGCATTTTTACGAGGGTAAGTCTTGGTGCGGATGCGTGTGATAAGGGTAGGGTTTTTGAAATTCGTAATAAAATGAACTGAAAATTGAATACTATTAGAATGTGCTAGAGTTCTGAAATTTGAATGCCAAGGGTTTTTGGAAATTCGAACTTTGATTTTCCAAAATGTTTCTTAGTCTCTAAAATGATACCATTAGGAATAGTGTGAATGAAAAGAGCTAAAAACTTGAAATTTAGTGATATATGAAGGAAATAGAAATGTCTTGGAAATGTGTAATAAGTGTGCGAACTGTACTAAATAGTGTGAAATTTGGAACTGTTTGCTAAAAGGTGAACGGATTAAGTTGGCATTTTGAAATACTGTATTGGGGTCCCTGTTAGTGATAGGTTTGTGATAAGGAGTTGGTTTTGGAAATGTGTACTACGAATTCACGAAAATTACTAAATAGTACTATATATGGTACAATGTGGTATTTGGTGAACAGAGAGGAGACGATAGGATATAGGTGGAAGTGGTTTCGTGATAGGATAAAATTCTGAAATTTAATATTTAGAATATTGATGGTATCTGTGTTTAAGATTTGACGGTGGCTTGGAAATGTGTTCTATATTAGTACGAAAAGTACTAAATGGAACTAAATTCGGTTTTGGATTAAAGAATACAGCTGGAATCCTTAAATTTTCATGAAAGTTTGGTTTTGGAAACGTGCTAATAATTGTACGAAAAATACGAAATGATTTTAAAGATATGGAGGTGGTTTTTGAAATGTGTACAATAATTGTGCGAAAAGTACTAAAGAAAAAAGTACGAAATAGTACCAAATTTGGTATTGGGTGAAGGGGTGGGGCTGGAATCCGCATATTTGATATTGTGTCCTCTGTTGGTATCTGGAAATGAGATATGTAGGTGATTTTGGAAATGTGTACTATAATTATTCGAAAAGTACTAAATAATATTTAATTCGGTATTGGGAAATTAAAGAACTGAAATCCTGAAACTCTCGGTAGCTGAGGTTGAGATATGGGGATTGTTTTGAAGGTGCCTAAAGAAGTAAATTCTATTAAAACTACTATTGGGTGAAGGGATAGATGTGAAATTTCGAAATTTGTTGTCACTCTTGGTGTCTTTACTTGTGGGATGTAGGTGGCTTTGGAAACGAGTGCTATGAACGAAGAAGAGCAAAATGCCACAAAAAGTGCCTTTGTGTGGGGATAAAGATGGAATTCTGAAATTTGGTATCGAGGTCACTGTTGGTATCAAGGGTAGAGAGAAGGAGTTAGATTTAGACATGTGTAGTATAACTGTAAGAAAAGTATGCTAATTAATTTGGGATTGAGTCTTAGGATAGAGCTTGAATTCTGAAATTTGATATGGAGGCCACGCTAGGTGTATAGTTAGTAAAAGAAGAGAAAAATACTAAATGGTACTAAATTTGACGTTTGCATTGCGTTTTTATATGTACGAATTGCTTCCGTTCGGGTACGATTAAAAGTTTTGTTGCACTCTATGGATTATCATAGGATTGGATGACTAATAACATTTTGGAATACTTTAACTTTTTACGATCCCGCCTGCAAGGAGTTTTTGTTACCGTTTTTGAATAAAGGACAAAAAAGTCAAAAAAGTGTCTTCATGCCCAAAGGGAACATTTTCTTGCAGAGTACTTAGAATTTAAATTTTCTCTCCGAGTAAAAGTTAAACCGTATAACAATACGGTTATCAAAGTCAAAATATTTCAAAGGTCAATATTTTTGAAAAATGTTCTCTGGTTAGGAGATATAGTTACCAACCCGTTTAAAAATTTTAAACAAATTACCAACTACGAAATTAATAATTTTCATAGCCTTTCAAATTCTACCTATATTGTCTATACCAGATAGATAGACACGCATCTTAGACCCGGATTTTGGTGAGAAATATCCGGGTATCGTGGTTCGTCTCAAAAAATGCTTTCTCGAAGAAAAGGGCAAAAAATCTCGATTTAATCGGGCACAGTGGCTCACGGGCGGGAGGTGAAAGAATGACTGGAACGTCTTTCGCTCTGTATGAGATTGGTTATTTTTCTACATTTTGAACGGTAATTGAGACGCACAGAAAAAAACTGGAATAAAAGTAGATCTAGTCCAAACATGAAATGTGCTCGATTTATAGAAAATATATGGGGTTGGTGTTCATAAGCCCAAGAGAAAAATGAAAAGGGTTGGTCAGATTGACACTAAATGTTATGACATTGATCATCGTATGATCATCATGCTTCAATGTATTTCCCTAATAAGAGTTATCTTGATTTTGAAATCTATTCTATTTTAAAAGAAACATTTAAAGATTTATTTTTAGCTTTTTTCAAAACTTCAGTTTATCACTGTGAAATTTATTTTGTATTTATGTTCATACTCAATGCGTATCTTGTCGAAAATGCCATAATTAATTACTCTTATTTAAACAAATACCAAACAAGCAATAAGTAGTTAACAACAAATTAAATATTACATGAAAATTCAGTTAATTATTTGCTTTCTGATCTCTCAAATGCAACATAAATTTTACACCCTTGCCAGCAACTAGGTGTTATACACAGCCCCTTTGTTTTTTCCATACAACAATGATTGATGTTGGCAAAATATTAATAAATAAATACAGAGCAGCCATAAATAACTTACCAAATATCAGCTGATGCTGCTACCAACAGTTGCACGCAATCCAAACAACCTCTTGCCGCTGCATAGTGCAACGCTAATGCGCCTCCATTAGGCCTTTCAATTGATGAAATACTGCCCGAGTGCATTGAATCATTGTAGCCATCCAGTTGGTGTGAATGCATTTTGTTCGTTGTTGTTGCTATTGTATTGTCTTCGTTGTTGTTGTTGTTGTTGTTGTTGGCGTTATGATTAGTTTTATGTTGAGAGTTATTTAAATTTGTATAGTTGAGGTTGGCATTTAATGGTGGCGCAAAATCATGGGTTCTGTAACGTTGAAAGAAAGATGTAAGAAAATAGGTTTGCAATAAATGAGAGATCCTAAGAGTATGCTTTAGATTTTATATGTTTTATCTTAATAAAAACCGTTGCAGCTTGTCAGGGGTATATGGAGAAAAGTTATAAAACAAAAGACTTAAGACACAAACTAGTGTGGCCACATCAAGTGTTGCCAACCACTTTCTAATCTCACCTTGAAAATACTTAAGCAGTGATCTATAAACTTGAATATAAATTAAAAGTTTAAAAGAAAGAAAATATAGTAGCCATGTTAAAATAAGGATTCCCATGTCATGAAGGCTGTGAATGGCCTAAACTATCGTCAAAAATGTTAAATCGTTTCGGACTAATTATTTTTTTTAAAAAAGCATTGGTAATAAATTTGGAAAAATTAGTATCCATAGTAATAACCAGCATAACGCTTATTTACTCCAACAATTTTACATCTCGAAAAAACTCAGTTTCAAGAAAAACTAATTTTATGTCAACCGCCGAAATTTAAACTCTCGAATTAAATAGATTACTACAAAAAATAAATAAATAAATAAAACTACGTAGACAATTATTTGGAAAGAGGTTATCAGATTTCAGTGCTAAACTTCGGTACAAGATCAAGCACTTTTTATCAAGCAAAGTAAAAACTGTAAGTCATTGAGTTCTTAAGATAAAGATAAAAGAGTAGTGAAATAACTGGCTGACCCAGACTAAATGGCTGAAGTAAAAATCTTAAAGCTTTGCACGACGGCCAGTCTTGGTTCGTAGACGTGTGATATGGCTGGGTTTTTGCAAAATCGTACTGGAAAAGAAAAATACCTAAATTTACTAAACTATGAATACATTCAGACTGCTGTCTAAGCCACCCGTCCGATGGCTGTTAAAATTATTCCAGTGATAGCTCATTATATTGTTTACAAGCGTACAAAAGCATTTTGGTGAGAATTTTCCGGAAAAAAAGTTATTCGTGATGGAATTCAAGCGTGATAGTGTGATTTCTTTATATTTGGCTGGAAAACCACAAGCGGATATCGTTAGAGCACTCCAGCATTTAAATGTGAATAAATCTTTTGTGTCTCGTACCATCACTCGTTACCGTGATACTGGTAGCGTAGCCCGACGTCAAGGAAATGGAAGAAAACATAAAACATCAGCAGAAATTGTTCGAAAAGTAAAGAAGCAACTGAATCGAAACCCGCGTCGCAGTGGCCGAAAAATGGCTCGTAAGCTGAACATATCGAGATTTTCCATTCGGCAAATATTGAAAAATAAGATCGGGGTAAAGCCATTGAAATACCAAAAAATGCAAGAACTTACACCGCAACAGAAAGAAAATTGACTCAAAAGCTCTAAAGAGTTGCTTCGCTTGGCCGAAAGTGGTGAACTGCCGAATGTGGGTTTCTCCGATGAGAAAACATTCGTTGTCCAGCAGTTTGTAAACAAAAAAAAAATGATAGTGTTTACTTGCCAAAGAGGTCGGCTGAAAATGTGCACCTTCGGTTGGCCACCAGAACTTAAGCGCCGGCCATGGTGACGGTGTGGGCCGCCATAACAACCGATGGTCGCTCTCCGCTCGTATTAATCGACCGTGGCATCAGAATATGCCAAAATGCCGAATATTATCGCAAAAAAAATCTGGAGGGCGTATTAAAGACTTGGGCTCGCAAACAATTTGGTCGCAGACTTTGGACATTCCAACCGGACTCAGCACCATCGCATTAAGCACACGCCACCCAAGAATAGTTACAAAATGAGGCTGCTCGCTTAATTTCCAGCGTACAATGGCCACCAAAATCTCCGGAGACCAATCCGTTGAACTATGGTGTCTGGAGTATTTTGGAAAGCAAGATTGGCACTAAAAATACCAAAGTGTCAAGCAAGCGCTTCGCCGAGAATGGGCCAAAATTTCACAGAGCAAAATTCGGACAGCGTGTGACGATTTAATTGCTGTTTGAAGGCCATAATTCGTGCCAAAGGCGACCAATTCTAACATATCTTTACTTATTCTGAAATTTGATGCTATTTCCGACATTTTTTGTCATTTGCGTTTGACTTTGTTGCACCTATGTTATCCCACCTTGTATGTACTAAGTGTGCGAACTTTACTAAATACTTTGGAACAGTTTAGTTTAGGGTGAACGGATGAAGCTGGAATTTTGATATTTTTATTAGGGTCCCTTTTGGGGGTAGGCTTGTGATAAAGAGGTGATTTTGGAAATGTGTACTACAAGTACAATATACTATACTATACTATATAAATAGTACTATTTTAGTACAATTTAGTATTGGCTGAACAGATTGTGTTAAAAATCTGGAATTTGATATTATGGCCCCTGTTCATGCGCAGCTAGGACATATGTTGGGGGTATCTGAAATCTGTACATTATTTGCACGAGACGTACTGAATGGTACTATATTTGGTATTGAGTGAAGGGATAGAGATTACATTCTGAAATTTTATTTTTAGATTACCAATTGTATAAGTTTTTGTGATATGGCGGAGCTTTGAAAATGTGTCCAACATTTTTACGAAAAATACTATATGGCACTTAATTTGGTATTGAGTGAAGGGATATGGCTGGAATCATCAAATTGGATATTGAGATTTCTCTCTCTTGGTATCTGGAATTAAAATATGGAGGTGATTTTGTACGAAAAGTTCTAATTAGGACTAAATTTGGTATTGGAAATGTGTATAGTATCGTTCGAAAAGTACTAATTGGTACAAAATTGTGTTTTGGGTAAGGTGATAGAACTGAAATCCTGAAATTTGACATGGATGCCACTGTTGGTGTTTGTGGTTGAGAGAAGGCGGTGGTTTTGGATATACGTACTAAAATTGTACTCAATGGTACTAAAATTGATAATGGGAGAATTTAAAGACCTGAAATCCCAACATTTGACATTGAGGTATCTGTTGGTATCCAATTTTTGGTTGGTGGTTGCCAATTTTTATTATCAAAAGACTTTGAAATAGTTTTGGACACAAAAATTGGATGTGGGTTCATTCCGCAATGGTTTTACTAATATTCTCCTGAATAAACTGCAAAACGAAAGATTTTGAAGACTTTTTGGTGTAAAGATATAAACATTTTCTTTTCTTTCTTTCCGAAAAAAGAAAAACCTGAATAATATATAAAAGCTTGAAAGATTGGAGATTTAGTACGATATACGAAGTTTTGATCAAAAAAATATGTCAAAAAAAATATGTCATATGAGCGAATTGTGCTTTTTGAGTACTAAGAATTCCTAACAGGAACTATTTTAAAGAATCTAAAATTTTAATATGGACTTTAATGTCACTCTTTGAATAAAAGAGCGATATATGCTGGTGACGGAAACGGACCAAATTGGAATTTTGGGGAGAGGTACCAAGATTCTATTCAATTTTCACATCAGGTTTTGAAATATTGGGATGTACGAAAAAATCGGACTCTACACCGACAGTTTTTTAATATTTTTCAAAATTATCCTTTGCAGGAAAGTACTTGATGGAGTGGGCCGATATCGTCCGTTTTTTGCACTTTACCTAGCATTGATACAAATATTAAAGTATGTTCTATGGAAATGTTCACCCTTTGGTGGGAGGTAGTAGAAGGAGTTAACCCATATTGTATATCTCAGAACTCGATCTCAGTTTGATAGTAATATTACAATGGACCAAATCGGAGGCAAACCCTTCGAGAGGCAGGCCAACACCTCTAGATCGTCTCTTACATGTACTGAAAAGGATTCCGTCCAAAGACATGTAGGATCTAAATCCCTTATTTCGATGAGGCACGTTTTGAGTCGTTTTTTTTCTAGGCAAATATTTTAGCTCTTCAAAACAAATCCCTCCTCCCAGAACAAAAAAAACCTTCCCTTTAATTATTGAACAAATTTAAATTACTATCTGAACTTGATCTTACACCCCCTTATTAACTGAACCTTGAATGTAGCTCTTGCAAAACATGCCAAATCTTAATAGCATGAACTTGATCTATAGCCTCTATTTGATGGAATAATTAATTTTCGCTCTGTTTCCATTTCGAACTAAATACAACTCGATCTCGAACAGTTAACAGTTTATAGAATTACTTTTGCTTTTGTTTATTTAATTTGCAATTACAAAAAACCAAAAAACAAAAAACACACCCAACAACAACACTCATGCAAATAACGCTTCTCTGTTACAATCTAATTAAATGGAAACCGAAACACTTTTTTTAGCCATTTGCAAATGGTATCACTTTTTTTGTTAGCTACTAAATTGTCTCACTCTTAATACTCAGCAACATACGGAAATTAATTGAAAACAGGGTTGCCAGTTTTGCCAGGGTTTTTAAACATTTGTAGCAGGAAATCGACCAAACATAAAATCTCATAGAAAATCTATAGATATTTTATATAAAAAATCTTTTTGGAAGATCTATAGATCTTTTCACCAAGATCAAGAGGTCTTCTCACAAGTCAGATTCGAAAAAGTACTTTATTGGCCCACTCCTTCTCATACTCCTTTCTAGTAACACACCAATGAAAGATGAAACTTTTTAATATATCTGCAGGGTTGCCCATATTCGACGGACCCATGTTTTTTTTTTTTTTTTGTTTTTTTTTAATTAAAATTTGGCGGTTGGCAATTTGAATCATTTAATTTGTTCCAAGTAGATTTGTTTATATCAATTTTTGAATATGATATCTCTCAAATGGCCGCCTCTGGCGTTGATGACGTATTGTGCCCTTTTTGCTGCATTTTCCATCTTTTTGTCAACATTTCGGCCGGAATAGCGGCTATTTCTTCACGAATGTTGTCCTTGAGCACTTCTACGGTCCTTGGCTTGTTAACGTAAACCTTTGACTTCAAATATCCTCACAGGAAGAAGTCAGGCGGCGTCAAATCGGGCGAACGCGGTGGCCAGTCCAAATCACCACTTTTCGACATTAAACAGCCCGGAAACAAATTCTTCAGAAAATCGATTGTTATGCGACTTGTGTGCGGTGGAGCGCCGTCTTGT